ACATTCTTGCCGGTCTCCGCTAATTAAAAGGCCAGTGGGTCGGTTTTGAGCAGTCCTTTTTGGAGGCCAAACTAAAGCGCCCCTTGCTTCACTGTCACATGCCCTCGCTGGCTAGGCAACGTAGACCTCAGGCCAGTAGATAAAGCTAGATCTCAAAAGACTTCCGTGGAGTGTTTTTGTCTTGTGACGCTATGATGGCCATGCTTGCGCTAAAAACACCAGTAGCTTGGCGATCCCTCTGTACATTGTGCTTTAACATGGGCAGAATGTCTGCTACCCATAACGATTAATTGCTTGTGAGAACAAGCGATTTTGGGGGGAAAAAAGCCACAGTGATGCTAATTGCAACCATAGGAAGCACTATATAAGTAACTAATCCCCTCACTACCTTTTGCTTTCTCTCTCGTCACCCAATGACAGGGATTATTAAGAATGTGGTATTCATTCTTGTTTACCTAAGTGCTCTGGGTTGTCTGACATGCCAATTCAGTGCCGGTAGAATACGCAGCGTATGCTTAGAGACCTGTTAACAGATTTGCGTCCCCGAAAGTAACCTGCTTTTTTGCCGAATGTAAAAAAAAATTCGTACTCATAACAGTCTGAAATTGGTGATCCGTGACGACAGTTTCATTAATCCTAACTGACGTTACGACACTGGAACTACCCAGTGCATGGAGTGAAGTCATTGAACTAATGTAAGATATTTAAGTTGTAACATGTTTGCTGGTTGTTTGGATTAAATTACTACTATCAACTTATCAGTAAAACTATAAAAGAAATTGCTGTCCTGGAGAACATATGGAGCAGTTCCTGTTTTTTAGGCGGACTTTGTTTTTCTAGAGTAAAACAGCATTACATTTTTAATGGATTTACATTTGGTCTGGTAATTGCTAGCGACTTCGAGTCTAATATTATAAAGGTATCAAGGTAAGATGTACATTTCTATTTTATATTGTGTTTCAAGCTTGTTCCTCAATGAACAACATGAGAACACTTTTAATATGTGATGGTAAGTTTTGAATAATTTATGTTTTTCTATTTAAGAAAGCATGGATTCAATCCAAAAGCTGATTCCAGCTTTTAAGTGCAATGTTATCAGAGGCTCTAGGTGTCGGTTCAGTCAAATTGCCTGAACAAAAGCAACAATGCCTGCAACCTACTTTTAGATCAACTCCAGTCCCTAGTCTTAAACAAGTATTTAGCACTGGCATTATCTCCTGTGAAATCTGTAAGAATGGCACCCCAAGAATGATAGGATTTGAAAAGTGACGCCCTCAGGCTTGTGATTACTGTGTTTCTGCAACCAACTAAATACCTAATACGGGAGCTTTTCTATGACCTTTGTTTTTTTAGACTCTCCCTACCAATTAGCATACATTGATTGATTGTCAGCTGTTATGTCCCGCGTGAGATAATGGGGCGACAAACAACTATAAACTATCCAAATTCATGTTACTGGTATTTCATTTTCTGAATGCTTATTGGATAACAACGTGTTGCCACCCATGCTGGTGTGAACTAATGGCCGCGTATCCAATCAATGCATTTACAATTGTTTTTCATCAATCTTTCAGCTAGTTATAGTTTGTTATCTGTTGACATCTCGCCTGGCTTTTTTTTAATATTAACGCACGCTGTACATGAATTAGACAAACAAAATATGCATGTCTACTGGGTTGGATAAATATTTTTTATTTGCTTCCTGTGACATTTGGCCAGATATGTACGTTATTCCTCTTCCCCATGCTGGTTTAGACTAAACAATGTCCAATACAATAGATAAAGCGATGGAATCTAAAAGCACACAAGTCAACCTTTTCATTTGCTGTGAAGGGGAGGTAACTTCCATTTTTTAAGTACCCCGGTTGATTATCTCTTGAAAGTGGGGCTTTGGAACCGTAGTACTGTTCTTGTTTATTCAAAATAACACACAACTTGTGTGTCTTCCTCTTTAACCCTTTTCACTGCTTGGTCGGTTCTAAAGAGATTTTCTCTGTTAAAAAGGTGGCTTAATTTACTTTTGATATAGCATTATCATTTTACGCGTCTGTCGTCTTTTATTGGCTTTGAAAATGCATTCAACTAGAATAAATACAGACTAATCATTGACTTAAACCAGTACTCCTGATCTACTTGTTATATTTGCTGCCTTTTTCTATCCTATAGTCTAAATCCTAGTAAAAAAAACGGCCCCCGGGGCTGACAGTTTTTTGGCAGCAGTTGTGAAGGCTGGTAGATTGTAATTTCTGCCAGTAGGGGTATAGATTTACCTCAGGATCTAAAACATGCTTTGTGGCTTAAGTCTGAATACAAATGGCATATTTAAACAAAACATTAAAATTTCGTAGACTGCTGGTCACTCAAATCCTAGGGAGAGCTACTGGGTATGTTGAAGTTTCAAGGCATTGACATGTCATCATAGCTCCAATGTGTAATGGGGTGGCTAAAGCCTACTAGTTAAATTGAATCCGGTGGTTGGGGGGGGGTGTTCCTATTTGTCCTGTGGCAAGACTGTTAACGCTTATTGCCCTTGGTAGTCACCCGTGATAAGAGCGTCTGTAAAATGACTCAAATGTGACTTGAGATATTGACACGACAGTAGTAGCTGGAGACGAAGTTATGTGACTGTGCTGATCACCATTTTTGCATGCCAGTTCGACTTGGCCAACCTGGGACATGGCCGTCCCCGGACATCCGCCCCCGCCACAGTCTGAGGTTGTGGGAAATGGACCTGCTAAACTTAGCTCAGGCAGCCCTATGACCTCCCAGAAAACAGTAGTGCGTTCGAAACTCCATGGGGGGTCAGGTTGTTGCCTCCATCGGGAAACGTAGACTTCAACGTGGCCAGGAAATGATTAAAAGTATAAGGGAGAGGATTTTCTATTATTACAGACAGTGTGTGTATGTGTGTTTGTGAAAGAGATGCATTACACAGGCATGCATATGCTTGCAGGGTCTAAGCCTCGTCTGATTTTGGAAGGATTCCCCTGTGGTTGGGTGTAAGGCAGGTAAAAAAAGGGATTTCTTCTCCCAAGGCACTCTGCAAATAGTAGTAAACAGATAATTATGGGGAGGTTGCACTAGACATGTGGACTGAATCTTTCATTGCCGGGGTAGAAATGTGACATTCTCCTCCGTCGGTTCCTCCTCCCTTGGCTGAAGACATATTTTCCGGCTGCGTTTGTTAATTGTATAGTCGTACTGAAGACCACCAAATGTGTTGTCGTTAATGTCAGGAAGTCCGTAAGTTGTTACAAAAGGCCGGAGAAGCAACATTTCAGTGAGATTCACCAATATGGGATGAAAAAAAATTACCTTCCTGTTGTTGTCGTTTTTGGAGATGATCAATACTAATATTTGTTGAGTACACTACTCTCACAGCTCCATACCACGAATAACTTTCGTTTGTATCGACGTCCTGTCAACATCAGGCCCAGGTGTTAGTAGCCAGTGACATTATTGATAACGACAGGCCCTGGTAATCGGAAGTAGGACAGGATGTCACGCATAAAGTGTGGATTATTTCCTGCTCCGCCGCTCAACCCCGAGGCTGGGATGGGAGTCTCACTCAACCCCTGGTGCATAGCATGCTATTTGAGGAGGACGGGCCGGACATGAGATTTGGCATGACTTCAGTAACTGTTTATGCAGCTGTTACATGTCTGATATCCATGTTAAAAAATGCATCCGGAAAAAGAAAATCTGCTTTTAATACAGTCAAATGAAAGACCTGTGGATGAAAGTGTTGAATCTTTTCACCCATTGCATTTTTTTTTCCAATGCTCCCCAAGTTCAACACTGTTAAGCCCTGGTCTCTGAACAATTCTTATAATGAGGGTTTCCCTTGGGATTTTTCAACAGCTGTGGAGTGTTGGGGGAGGGGGGTTGGTCATTGAGTACTGGAAAAAGAAGGTCGGTGTTTGAGTACTGGGGGGAGGGGGTGGGGGACAGGCTTTGAGCAAATGCTAGTTTGAAATGCCCTCTCAACTGCACATAGATACATACAAATTGTGTAATCTACAAGTTCATCTATGGGTTAATTAAAGAAGTCAGGTGTCAGCAGTTGAAATAATGACAAAGCCTTCTCCCTGACAATATTTATGTAAATTGGTATATTCTGTCAGGAATCAATGGGTAAATAGCAATGATTTGTAGATTCATGTCTGGTTTGCCCTTTTTAACTGACAGAATCATGCACTGTCTGTTTTGAAGTCTTTTATTTTGTAGAGTGTGACGCTTGAAACTCAGGTGTTACTGGTGGTTTTCCCACAGGGGGGTGCGATATCAATTAAAGTATGACTGTAGATAAGACCAGATAAATAAATAAAGTGTCAAATGTACAGGGTTTATTTTTTATATGTATATATATTTGGGAGTAATGGTAATGATTTGAAGACTGGGCTATTGCTGCCAAATATATATATATATATGAGGCAGGTACAGTGTTGATGGGAGGTTTTGGGTAGTGAATTTCAATATCAAGGTATTTTGTTTAGCTCAAATATCTGGCTGCCTTTTAGAACACATCATTCTTGAATCGTTTTTTTAAACTTCATTACTAACTATGAGGTTGGCCAATGCAAGTGTAGACACGTAGTCAGGCTGTTGAAGGATCTGAAGCAAAACCCCTTACCACTCCTGTCTTCTGCAAGGGCCTTCAACTGGGGTTACCTGATCCCCTGGGGCTACTTGGCCTATCTACCTAGCACTTGAAGACTCACTGGGCCTTTTGACACCACAGTATATAGAGGAAACAAAAGTGAAAAGGTGGCATGTTTTACCTAATATCGTACAGGATGTTTCAGTTTACATTGGCATGTACTGACAGACAAGCGAGGGAGCAATGTAATCAATGTCCACAGTACAGACATCTTTTCCTCACCCCTAAATCTGTCATAGTGTTTGGTTGTTAGCAAACAAACGTATCTTTTTGGTGACTTTGGAATCATCTGCCGGTTAATGTCAAAATCACTTACCATAGATTGTGTATCCTCAGTGCAGTTGGTGTAGCTCAGTGGAGTTGGTGTAGAGTGCATGATTTGTATGTATGATGTTCTGGGTCCTGGGTTCAATCCCCAGGTTCACAATCGGCCTCCCTGGTTAAATAAAGGTTAAATAATAAAAATAAAAAGAACAGAAATAAATAGTCAAATACATGCTTTTTGCTGGTTCATTCTCTTCTAATTTAATATATAAGGTTAGAGTACTTTTTGTGTAAAGTATATTTAATGTACACTGGTGACCCTGTACAATGTGAGCACATGTCTAATATGCTGTGGGTCCTCCACGTGCTGCCAAAACAGTGTCAATCCACTAAAACGTGGACTCTACAAGACCCCTGAAAGTGTCTTGTGGTATCTGGCACCAAGTCATTAGCAGCAGATCCTTTCTGTTTTGTAAGTTGCAAGGTGGAGTTGCCATGGATCTGACTTTTTGGTTCGGCACATCCCAAAGATCATCAATCGGGTTGAGATCGGGGGAATTTTGTAGCCAGGGCAACACCTTGAACTGTTGAAAATATTCCTCAAACCATTCTCAAACAATGTGTGCAGTTTGGCAGGGCGCATTATCCTGCTGAAAGAGGACACTTCATTCAGGGAATACCAGTGCAATGAAGGGTTGTACCTGACTTGGGTAGGTGGCACGTGTCAAATTGACGTCCAATGAATGCCCAGACCCAGGTTTTCCCAGCAGAACATTTCCCAGAGTTTCACACTCCCTCCACCGGCTTGTCATCTTGCCACAGTGCTTTCTGGTGCCATCACTTTCCAAGGTTAACGGGTCACACATAAACAGCCCAACTGCTTCAAGGTCCAGTTTTGACTCTCGCTTACCCATTGTAGGCGCTTTGGGTGTACAGGGGTCATCATGGGCACTTTGACCCGTCTGCGATACATACATTTGAAAGATGCGTTCTTGAGAGTGCAATTGTTCAATGTAGTCTGCAAAATCATCTTTCCGTTTCGTGTCGATACTTTTTGAGAAACATTATTGTTGCAAGGATGTTCTGAGACCACATGCTTTACTGGTTAAATGCACACTAGAAGTTACAACAGGAACAGGAAGTTACAACATCACGTCCTCCCTGATACATTCCAATATTTTACAAGGGCCTAACCACCGCTGCATTGTCCAGTTTGAATTATTTGCATGTAGATTTGCTGCAGCAATCCTATCACACTCTGTCCCCAGTATGCCCTTGCCCCTGCTATTGAAAGAAAATGCCGTTTACTGCCAGATGTGTCTTATCAAACCAGTGAATTTGTTTAATACTCAAGCCGCGACTGAGGAGTTGACTTCTCTCCGACCTTTTTCCCTTTGCACCAGACTAAAGACCCCATAGTGTCACACGTGCAACTGTACCTGTGCATTACACACACATTTTTGTGGCGTCCTGCGCTTCACACTTAATGTCAAATGTGAATAGGGATTTCTGAAGTTCTACCTGTGAAACATCCATGTAGTTTACTGACCATTAGATCAAAGGGATGTGCATTTAGTTACATTCCCATTTAGGTTTTTAACAGACACTCTTATTCTGAGCAACTCATAGTAGCAGTTACAGCTCAGTTGTCTTTGGAAGTAGGACCAGCATGTGTCTGTTACATAGAGAGAGAGAGGAATTTCTATTCTTATGGCTCTTTTAGCTTCCTTTTTTAGATGTCTGACTGATGTGTTTTTTTTTCAAACAGCTGATTGAGATTCGCAGACGATGAGTGAGCGTTCACCAGACTAGTGTGGGTGGCTTATTCACTCCAGGGCTGTAAAATACATTACTCATACAGTTTCAAAGCAATACATGTATCTTTTTAGATTGTTTATAAAAATAAAAAGTAGTTCTTATATTTTTTTGTGTATATAGATTGCCTACAATTTTCATATTTTTGTTTTTTTAAAGTCAAATACATTGAGAGGAGAAACTGCATTATTCAATGACAAGCCATGGAAGGCTATTGAGCGACACTGTGAGCAAATTGTCCTGCTGAGCTCTCTTGTCTTGGATTATTTAGACAGGGTGGGGCAGTGGAGCACATTCTGTTAGTTCCTGTCATTTGTGTGTTGTTACACCTATCCAATGAGTGGCTTCATCTTAGGTGGCCTGGGCCATTAAAGGTTAGCCAAACAGTCACTCATGTGAAGCCATGGCAAAACCAAGCCACGGAGTTTGTTGGCTCTATTTCTTTTACTGCTATTTTGAAATAAGTCTGTAGTACCATATGTAAAACATTGCCTGTTGCCTAATGCAGATAAGTTATGTTTGTTTTAGACCTATTTATGAAACTTGATGGATTTCCTTTCTATTCATGTGGCCTTTAAAGTGTATCAGGGGCCTATAAACAGTAAAGGCCTTGAAAAACCTTAAGACATGACATCAACTAATTCTTTTGTACTTCCTTGTTACTCTGTGAAACCACAAATGCTAGCAGATATTTGTTTGTGTCCGTGTACCTGGTGGAATGTTGTCAGGATTAAGTAGTTTAATCATTTAAGCCTATACTGTTGAAAAATCACATAACAGGAGCGCCACTTGCTGTTTCACACTTGAATTAGAAAACGTGTGCCCATAGACCACAAAAGTAGTGTCTTAACATGGCTTTGAACATGATTAACATCCGAATGTGTTGTTCTTCTATAATGAGTTGGATTCTTTTAAATGGAAGACCATCAGAAAGATGAAAAGTTAAGGAATGTTAACAAGTGCTTTTTCTTTGGCCTTAGAAGGTATCTAGTGGGAGAATCACATCCTTGCCAACGCAGCTATTTTTCTTTTCACACTGGTAGCCAAGGAGATGAGAACCCCCACCACTCTAAATGAATGACGCAGTAATGTCTTTAACCCTTTAAACTAAAGCAACGATTGCCCCCTATCCTCGCTTGGTCTCTTCCTGCTTGTCCTTCTCTGTGTGTTCAAAATGGCTTTTATTCCTGATAGTGGACTACTTTAAACCTGGCTCGTAGAAAAAGTTATTTTTGTTACGCAGACTCATGGGCATTGCAAATGTCATCCGTCAACACACACCGGTGGACCTTGGTCTTTTTATCGTATGATTTGAATCGTTTTGCGTCTAATTGTGCCTGCAGGTGTTCATAGGTAGGGAAGAATAAGTGGAAGAACACACAGTAACAGGAAGTATTCTACATAAGTACAATATTTGTCCCGAACATTCACTTAATCTACAGTGTGATTCCAAGAAAGCTATGGGGCATTACATTAGAGATTTGTCATTTTGTCATGGTTCTGCATACATTTTTACAAAGCACCTTTTGTGTGCCAAAGGCAGTGCAGACATGTAGACAAGTTGTGTGGCGCTAGAATGAACATGTCTACCTGACACTACAACCGGGTCCTTCTGGTCACAAGCCGACCCTACTTCATAGTTCAAACGTTTTAACTGAGAAAGTACAATCACGTTTATTCTTTAATCCACGAGGGCTGGCCCGAATACTATTTTACAGGCTCCGAATACTCCTTAGTAATTCCGAACGGGTATTTGAATACGAGTTCTCAAAAGCGCCAATAAAAACCCTCAATAATAATGTTTCATAATTAAACATGAAAGGCGGCAAGTCTGTTTTAAAGAAAAACATACCCTAGTTGTGATTACACTAATCAATCTCTTCCTCAGAGGCTTGCAAAACTACTCAAAGGGAACTAAGATGCCGTCTGGGCACGGGATTGAGCGCAAACAACCTGGAATGTGTTGCACAATGTTTTAAAGATTAAATAACAACACCAGTTATCTTTTAACTAGTTTTTATCGTCCACAAATTAAGCATGGTTTAACAGAATATAAGGCCAGTATTAACCAATAGTTATGGGATTGAAAACATGATAGGCAAAACAAAAAACAAGCCGAGAAAGTGCTTGACAAACCATGAAAAATGTACGTTTATCAGAAATAATCTGACGTTCTTGGACAAATAAACAAAACGGAAGACAATGTTGGGCAAAGTGCCGATGGTAGCCTACAAGCCTGCCTACAGATAGTCTGTTGTTTCGAAGTTTAAAAATGCAAGAGATTAAATATGATATAAAATAAATAAAATCCTCTCCAATGAAAGAAATGCCTCGTAGCTAATCTAATTTCTCTTTTCTTTTCTCTGTGATCGGGTTCTCTAACTGCAATGCCAATTAGGTTGTTTTTGAGGTCAGATTGTTGCAATGTCTGGGAATGCACCTATTATTAATAATAATAATTATTATTAAGCTATCATACCTGATGCTAATAGGTCTAACATAATGTGTAGAGCGTGAAAGGCTATTTACCAAGTGATGCTCGGATAAGAATCAATATACTTACATGTTTGGTATGATTTAATAAACTTGTTGTGCTTCCATGGTTTACCAATTTCTGGTTGCATGTTTAGCAATGAGCATTTTGTTATCATCTGATAATGGGAAATGTTTTCACATTTCACACAAGTTTTGCTGCAAAAGAAAACAAACTTCTGAATACCGAATTAAGATTAAAATACCAACTTAATGAACAAATACTTGAATAGTCAAAGTATTCGGGCCACCTCTACAATCCACATTTTCACACTAGTCATAACTTTTAGACAGGGAGAATCTCATTGTGGGCGAAGTCACATTTTTTTATTGAAACCTGCAAGAACTAGAAGCATATCCCCAGTTGTAATCATTACAGTTCAGTATATGGCTCGTGCACGCAACTGGCCAACCAATGAAATCCCAGAAATTGAAATATGACTCTGGATATTGCTTCAACACTAAGTAGGAAATTAGCTCTACCAAAAAGGCAATTATTACCATAAACTATTTGCAATTTGTTACCTTATGCGTATCTGTTTAAGGCCCATATATCTTGTTAGTGACACATTGATATCTCAATAATTGTAACTGTCTTTGCACAAGTCTGATCATGATAGCTCTGTTTGGGTTTGATTGAATGAGCGCAAGTTGTTGGTATTTAACTGAGACAGAAGGTATAGCTATAACTTGTTTGTAAATGCCTCGTATGTAGTTTAGGATACAGTTAAATTCGGCCATTATCGTGTCACATATGAGCAATCAATTGTAGGTATCCTAATATTGGCAGATTTGGGCCAGAATAAATGAGTGAG